CATAACTAAAGACTAAGGAGGGGCCTTACAAAATTCGCACATGTGGCTTCAGTGTTAAAGTGGAGTGAGGCTTCCAGTGTGTTCTGGAAGTTCAGACAGTCGAACTGACACCAACAGGTGTTCCATGTGCTTATGGTGACTTGGTGAGTGAAACTCAACATTTGTCAATAGTGTTTTAACCTGTCACTGCAAATGATAGGCATTAGTGTTAGAAAGCAGATAGTCATTCTTATTTTGTTGATAAATGTATTTCCACACCTCACCTCATGCATTGGCTACCACACTTTGCAACCAGCTCTCTGCATCTCTGCACCAGCAGCTGGGATATGGAAGGGTCTTGCTTGCTATTTTCTGTCAATTAATTTTCATAGTCAAAAATAAATATATTCCATATCTCTTACTAGGTTATAAATTAATTCCAATGTGGCTTCTACAAAGTCTCAAAAGAAAACAGAACTCTCCTCCAAATGAAAATTATGGACAAGGGAAAATTGTTCAAGGAAAAAAATAGCAGATGACTATTTTTTTTGGTCAAAGCAATTAGTGCAACATTCTGCTTATGTTGTAGAGAATTTGTGCACATTTACAAAGACTATAATTTGAAAAAGCATTATATGTAAAAACGAGGTCAAAATTGGTATGTATCAAGGCTTGGGCTTATCAACGCTTTTTCTTTCAGTTGTTACAGGCAGTTAGCAGTTGCAACAGTTGCAAAACACTCTGGGAGCAAGAAGCAAACAGAGGACAAGGGCCTCATGACTTCTTTCTTAGTCTAAGTTCCCTGACTCTCTCATTCATCCCTCTTAGAAGTAGATATAGAATGTTGTTTCAGGGTGGGAGCAATGACCACTATGACTACTTACTGCTGGGGGTGAGGGGCAATTTAAGATGGGAACAGTCAGAGTATGGGTCTCTAGGAATCCAGTGGGGTTGCAATAGAATTCAGTCAGTCATAGTTATCCATGGAGTAGGAAGATCATTTAATGCCAATGTGCATCCTTAGAGCATGCTATGTGGGTGAGGTAACATCTAAGAAGTATAATTGTTAGAATAACTGTAGCCTTTATTGAAAATGTGATTTAAACAGTTGGGGCAGCTTTGGCCCTATTGGAGGAGGACAGAAGGCAAGAAAATCATCCTTTACCTACTGATTTTCTGTCCTATTATCATAAGACACAGGAACATTAACAAATACATTTCTTATCTGTTGTGAGAATTTTCTTCTTGGGGAGGACTATCCAATGTCTACCCCCTCATAAGGTCCAAGTGACAAACCAAAATTCAAATTCATCAGAATTCACCCTGGGGAATTACTGAATTATTGGGCTTACTTGTTGAATATGGGTAAGGGGTTACTGACAGGAGTGTCAGTGACCTGAAAGTATCACCCACAGTGGGTGAAAGCATTCCCATAGTTACATAAATGGAGCCCCTCTCCCTAGTCTTCCCCAACCTATATATTTTAGCATCTCTCCTAGACCAGAGGCCATAGACAATTAGGGCAGAATTGAATACACTGGCAAGGAGGAGTGGATGGATACTCAGGTGAGGTTCTAGTGACCCAGCCCACCCCCTCCTTCTACAAAGAAACATAAACAGTCAAAAAGCCCAGTCTTGATGATCTTTTGCAAGCTGGCACAGCCAGGCTCATGAAGATGACAGCTGTTTTGTTTGAAAGATACTCCTGTATACATCTTTCCATGCACATTTTTAACCACCAAGTTTTTTTTTCTGCAACTCTCAAACAAATTTCTCTGCTTGGACTTTCACATCTTTTCTTTTCTGTGGTCTCACAAAACCTGAGAGTTACAAAAAGGTTTATATTTTAGTAAGAGCCTTGGCATATTACCAAAATGATCTTGGTGTGAGACCCTTTTCCACCTCTATAAACAAGAAGAGGTAGAAAAGAAAGTACACACAGAGCAAAAGTCCTCACGTGTTACCATGGTAGCTTCACTTTTAGATGATAGGAAGCATTCATTCTTGTTTCAACTAGAAGAGAGAGACAGTGTCCCATTTTCCCACCAACGTAACATTTATTAACCACCTTGGGATTTCTCATCTGAATGTCCTTTTCATGTTGTTTTGATTTCTCCCTGAGACCAGAGTAGTGACAGAGAGGGATTTCTGGGCATGTCTTTTCTTTATTCCATGGCTTTTTGTGACTTAATACCACAATTTCTGTTCCCAGGTCCTTTTGCCCTTTATTTAGAGTCCAGAGGATGATTGAGCCTAGCTATGCTATTGGTTCTGAATGAGTATAAGTATCCAATACAGAGAAGCAGCAGATACACAGCAAAAATCTTCAAATCTGTGTCTACAACTTCCCACAGAAATCAACTAAGAAAACTCCATAAAAATTTATTATAGTATAGGTATTGGTTGAAAGACTACTAGGTAGAAAGTTCTCACTCTACACTCCATGGATGAGCACCTCATGATTTGTTTTTACTATAGACATCTTTATATTCCAAGATAAACAATAGTAACTTTTATTGGAAATAGTTTACCCCTTAGCTGTCCCTAAGTCCACCATGCCTTCATTCTGGGGCTGTTCTGTTGTTATCTTTTCCCCTTCTCACAGAGTCAGGAGGGCCAGCCTGACCTAGGTCAGGGGCTTTGGAAAACACTTTTGAGACAAAGATTCTTGAGTCTGAAGTGGGAGGGCCAAATCCCATCCCAAGAGTCAACCTCTCAGTGAGCCCAAACAGCACATGACAATTACTAATATAAGGTATATATAAAAGATATTTGCTTCTCTATAATACCGAACTCATTGTTTTACACTGTATAGGGAACTTTCTGTTGATTCCAGTGACAATTGGCTAGAACCTAGGCATCTGTCCTTCTTAGTGCCTGCAGAGAATTGTCCAAATGAATCGTATCTCCTGGATCATGTGTCAGGAAAAGGAACGTACAAGGGGTGGAAAGCATTTTCTTCCTTTTCAAAATGCTGTAAGAGATAGAACACTTAAAGCCTCATCCTCTGATTTATTTAAACTTTCTCCAGTCATGGGCTTGTGACTGTGAATATTCATGATCAAACAAGGTCAAGCTGACATAAGGATCTGCTTTTACTAATGTTACCAATGTCTAACTTGGGATCTTCCTTGACTGGTCTTGGGGTGACCGCCTACTTGAAAACCTATACTCACAATCAGTTTGTGTGTGTCTGCAAATGGAGGAAGATAGCCTGAAAAAATTTATCAAGAACCTTTCCTCTTAAAAAAAAATGTCATTTCTTCCTCCATTACCAAATAACTAATTGGAGGATGATACTATATTTAAGGCTCCCCTGGGGTGGCCAGTTCTCATGATTCTCCAGGGGCTGCTGAGGCAAGGCTTCTTCACTGAAAAAGATCAGACTCTTATTTGAGGTTTTGCTCCACCCTGTGTTTAAGGAGGCAGCAGAGTAGTGATCTCAGAGGAATCTTGCAATTGGTGTACCATCTGCAATGAGATGGAAGAGGAAAAATAGAGAAGTCTTGGGTGAGGGTTGCCCAGTCTCTAGACACATTCCCTATACTACCTGGAGGGGCAGCTCTAGCCTACAATAGGGCCAGCCCACAACAGGGAGTAACTAGGGCATTCTAGTCTGCCCCAGGGAGAAGCTTGACTGAATAGTGTGAAGTCTGTGCCTACTCATTGCTCAGCTTCCCCATTTCCCAATTTCTTCCTCCCTTTTCCACCTATGGGCCTTGGGGCATGCCTGTGGAGGATTACTTTGATCAGGGAAATTGAGGTGGGAGGATCTGCCCCCTGAGGATGGCACCATCCCCTGAGCTGGGATGCTGGACTGTACGAGAAGGAGAAGGTGAGCTGAGCACAAGCACTCATCTCTCTCTGCTTCTTGACTGGATACCATGTGACCAGCTGCCTCCAGCTCCTGTTGCTGTGACTTCCATGAGCGGTTACAACCTGGAATGACGAGGAGCCAAAAATCAACCTTTTCTCCCTTGTGTTGCTTTGTCAGGGTATTTCACCACAGTGACACGAAAAGTAACTAACAACTATCCAGGTATAGTATGAGTGAGCCTACTTTACTCCTACTTGGGAAAGTGTACTGTTGGGGATTGCTGGGGCAACAGATGAGAGGAGCTGGAGACACTCCATAAGGAGTGTCCTGGGCTTGATGAGCAGCCTTCGAGTGGCCAGGCACAGGGTTGATGAATAAGCCCTGGAAAGACAGCAGAAACTTCAACTGAGTTGAAGTTTCAACATGAGTTTTACTGGGACTTTATTTCTTGTAAGTTGATGATGTGAGGAAAAAGAGAAGCTACTTGCCCAGCTCTGGAGCCCCAAACTCTGGGATCTGGATTGTTGATTTTCCTTATGGTTTGAGGTGAGACAGAGACCAAGGCCTCTGTGGGCACTCTGACCTGCCCAGCTGTGTCTTCTGGCCTGGGGTCCAAGGCTCTTAGGATCAGCTGATGAGCACCATCTGCAGGTAGAGAGCTGAAAAGTTGGAAACAAATACCTGGACACTGTTCAGCATTATTATAGATCAACAATGAAAAGACCCAGTGCAGACTCATAGGAACATCTCTGGTCCTTTTTATCCTGAAAGTCAATTCACTGGGATTAAGTAACACTGTACAAGGTCTGTCTCTGCATGAGAAAGCATCTTATTTTGGAGAACTAAGACAGAACTTTTTAAACTTTTTCACTCACAGCTGAAAAATTTTTATGATACATCAGCTATATAGGAATATAATATACAAATCAAACATTTGCTGACAAAAGAATTCTGGTCAGGCATGGTGATAACTCACTTTTAGTCCCAGCATTCAGGAGACAGAGGCAGGCAGAGGCAGTCCCTGAGATCAATACCAGCCTGGTCTCCATAGAGAGGGAATTCTAGGCCGACTGGGGCTACAGGGAGATCCTGTCTCAAAAAGACCAAAAAAAAAAAAAGCACTTTTGCCATTTATTAAAAATGAAAGCAATTTGCATACTGAAATACCGAAGTGAATGTGTTCCTTTGTTTTTACTGTAATATCTGTATCCCTCTGTTGAATCCACCCAGAAAGCAGAGCTCCTAGCATACGTTCCTCAAAAACTGGGAGTTCACAGTGTTCACAAATCAAGGAACAGAACTCAAAAGGAGAAAAACCAGGCCAGATTCGAATAAGTAGCCCCCAGGTAGGCAGCAAGCACCCCAGGCAGTGTGTGACTCCTTTTCTTTTCTTCCACAAGGTTGGCTTGGAGAATTTTTGAGTGTATGTAAGGTTCAGCTATGGCTGGTGACTGGCCAGTGGTGCCTGACTTGGGGACCACTATGCACAGGTGGATGGATGGAGATCAGAGGCCCTGCAGGGTTAATGGCCTTTGTGTGGGCGGGAGAAGAAAGTGGGGAACTGGGCGTGCACTGGACTTGGGGTACGCTCCATTCCACTTTCCGCGCAGCTGACTGAGGACAGAAACATAGAAACTTAGGTCGGGAGGAGTTTCCAGGAAACGAAAGCGAAAGAGGCCAAGTAACTTTCCTCAGGCTGGGGACAGTCGCGGCGGCCATCGGGGCAGGATGGCAGCGCGCGGTCCCTTCCCGCTGCTGGTCGAGGGGTCTTGGGGCCCCGATCCCCCGAAGAACACGAGCGTCAAGCTGCAGATGTACTTCCAGAGCCGGAAGAGATCCGGCGGCGGCGAGTGCGAGGTCCGTCCGGACCCGGGGAACCCGGCGCGCTTCCTGGTGCTCTTCTTCCCGGAGGACGGTGAGGGGCTCCGGCCTGGGGCCGCCGTGTGGGGTCGGGACTCCCGGCGGCCGCGGATCAGCGCTCAGCCTTGGCGCAGGAGGTCGCGGGCACACCTGGGCTGGAGCACACTGGGCGGCGGTTCCCCTGCGCTTCCAGTTGCTTCGTGTGAACCTTTCCGTACTTCTCTGCCTTTCCTGTTTTTATTATTATTTAAGTGAGGAAGAAAAAGAATTAAGAAGTCTAAAGAGTCTCGGCGATTTCTCCTGGGTCAGGGAGCACTGGGGGTCATTGGGGAGGTGAGCACCGAGAAGAGAGAGGCCAGGAGCCTTGTCCCTCTGCCCCAAGGCGAGGCAAGCTGAGCAGGGGTCTGCTTTGAAGCCTAGATTTGAATTATCACAAAATCATACTCTGTGCAGGAGCACCGCTGACAGTCTGAAGTGGTTGTTGTCGGTGAGCTTTGACCTCTGGAGATGTTTCTCATATAGGCCACAGAATAGAGGAGTCCTCTCTTGCTCCCCAAGCTAGCCCAGAGCCCCCTGCTTGCTCAGGTTGGAAAGTCTATGAACTGTGGCTTCCGGAAGGCCACTTCCCCGCTGAGATTTTGCAGATCAGGGTCATCCTTCAGGAGGCAGACAACCCTCCTGCTTGTCGGTGGATTTGAGGGAAGCATTTGGGCCAGAGGAGAGGCCAGGAGGCTGATGAGGATGTCCAGTTGGAGCAAGGCAGCTGCCCCATCTGGGATCCATGAAGGAAAAATATGAAAGACAGCAAGATGGGATCTGCAGGAAGCCAGGACTGGAGGGGACAGGACACCTGCTTGACCCAGACTCCTGGGCAAAGGAAGACAGTGTTGTCCTCGGATGAACTGCAACATTAAGTGCACAGAGGGTGGCTGGTGGCATAAGCCTGCTCTCCTCTGACTTTCATTTTCCCTAGAGGGTTTCTAGCTATGAACATCCCCATCTTCTCTACCCCAGTGTAGGTCACATTCAGGGGCCTATACCACCTGCATACCAGTCTCCTGGGGGACACATTTCCAGCCCAATTCTAGAGACTTAGTACACTGAGTATAGAGTGGGTAAGAATTATATGTCACAAGCCCCTCCAGTTGACCCTGACATGCTAAAGTCTGAGAATCTTTGTTGTTTGGAGATGACCTCAAATGAGGAAAAACGGAATCTCTCTCTCTCTCTCTCTCTCTCTCTCTCTCTCTCTCTCTCTCTCTCTCATGTGTATGTTTGAGTGGAGTAAGAAGAATAAATTTAATGTAATTTTTCCCACATATCTCCTCATAGCGTAACTCTTTAACAAGAGTATATATCTCTCATATCAGAATCTGGAAGAACAAGTAGCATAAAGATATATACAGCACAGAATATAATCTTGTGAAAGGATTGTTCAAATCTTGCCTTCAAAGCAGACCCCTGCCCAACTTGCAGGGCTCCCAGGCCACTGTCTCTCTTCTCCCAGGTCGCTCTAGTGGTTCCTCTTGTCTTACCCCAATACAGATGACTCAGCTGCTGCAGGTCAAAGTCCTCAGGATGCCAGAATGTCCCCGTTCTGTTTCAGTTTCCTACTCTAGGAAGCATTTCCTCAGTAACACGTCACCAGGAATTTCCTTGCAATGGATTTACATTCTGGAAGGCATCCTGTAGATGGCACCACCCTCTTCTCCAGGAAGTAGCTTCAGCAGGTGCAGACCACAGTGTAATATGACTTTATTCATTCAGATCTACAATGGCCAAATTAGTGAATAGCAGATAGGAAAGGAAAAGACAGAGCTCCCCTTTGTATAAGTGAATTTATGTAATGTTGAGTGTAATTTGACTTATATCTTGTTTTTGTGTTAGGGATCAAACAGGACCTTGAGCATGCCAGGTGGGTATTCTACCTCTGAGCTGTGCTCCAGAACCTCACCATGTTGTAAATGCCATTTCAGACAGGGATATTTTATCATGCTTTCTGGTCATCATTTGGCTCCAGGTTTCTGTGGAGGAGCCTAGGTGTCCTTGAGGTAAGGGGTCCCATTTTCTCAAGTGAAACTGAGGCTAGATGACCCAAAGATGGCACAGGAGGGAGGCTGGACACCAGAGTTTTTGCTCCTCCCAGATTCACCCTCTCCTTGTTGGAGATTACAAACTGTTATCACCACCATTGCTCCCCCGGGAATACTTCCATCCATCCATATTGCATGCAGTCTAAGAGGCTGGCAAGCTTAGATGCCTTTGGACTTTGCCAAAGTCCAGGGAATAAGAAAAGGAATGCAACACAGAGGTGCATGATGTTAGGTAACTGGCTTCAAAGCTTGTTCTTGACCTTTAGGTCACTCAGTCCTCAGTCCTCCCGCCAGCTCAGTACAGCCCCTCTACCCTTCATAGCCCCTCCAAAGTCTGTATTGAAATGCCTGCCTACTCGTAGAGTGGAATTAGACTCTGATGCTCCTTCTCAGGAGATTCAAGGCCTGTATCTGAGTGTGCATCCAAGTGAGGCACCACTTGGCCCACCTACTTCATGACTGATGTGGGAAAGCTATCATGCCTCCCCCACGAAAGACTCTGAGCCCAGCCAGCCACATCAGAGCATTGCATGAACCCAACATTCACACCACAAGAGAGCTGTGATCAGCAGGGCTCCCATTTCCTTTCTCCTTTACCTGTTTGCACCATCCCACTATACTGGTCATGCCCCTCCTTTAACATTCCTTCTCTATACTTCCTGGTCTGAGATACTCTGATTTTCCTCTTTCTCTGGCTGCTGTTTCTGACATTTGTAACTTTCATTTGCATAGCTTTTGAGGGTGCTACTGACAATATTCATAGATAACATTTTAAACAGGGAAACTGAGGCTCCAGAGAGCATTTATTTACAGACTCTCACCTAGTTTGCAGCAGATTTCGAAATAAAATACAGTCCTTTGGACTCTGTTTACTCCCAACTACCTGATATGCTAATCCTGCTTTTGTTTGTTTTTACAAAATCTCCTCTATTCTTTTTCTGTTCCTTTACTACCAGATATGAATTTATCATTACAGGCTAAAGTATTGCTTGAAGTGGCTAACTGGACTCCTGGTCATTCTGCTGATGGCCAACTGAGTCACCTTCCTAAACCTAACTTTCATCATACCATTAGCCAGTCTTCCCCTGCTGGTGCCAGCCAGCCAAGATGGACAGTACCTGAAAGGGGGAGTGAGGATTGAAAGAAAGAAAAGGAGACAGGAAAGATGCTTGGGAGGACTGACAGTGAATACTGCAGCCCCCATTTATTTCAGCTCCACCTTTTCATACAGAAGAACTCAATTAGTTACAACAGCTGTTTTCCCCACCTGTATCTGAGGGTCAAGGAGTGGTCAGATCAAAGGCTTCTTTGATCCTTTTGTTTACCACTGTTGCCTCAAGGTCAGGTGTTGTGAGGCTCTCCATATAAACATATTCTTCCTGATAAGGCAGATTAGATACTGGTGTGCATAACACAAACTCAGTAAACAAGCCTGACACAGCTCAATGTACATAATAAACAAACAGCCCCCAACATTCCCCATAACTGGTTCACTTCACTGAAGAATGAACCTTTCTAGCTTGAGTGTCTACTGAGTGCCAGGTACTGTACTAAACTCATTATGTTTCTTCAACTTAATTACACTTAACACTGGTACAAAACACTCTCCATTAATCTCATTTTATTAATAAGAAGACTGAGGTTTTGAAAGTAAGACTTATTTAAGAGGAAAGGTAACAGCCAGGTTTCCTTTAAAGTGAACATATTTGAGGTAATCAACTTGAACAGAGGGAAGGTTTATTTGGGCTTAACAATTTGAGAGGTTGCAGTCTGTAGTTAGTTGGCCTGCTGCTTTGGGGCCTGTGGCAATTACACTTGGCAGAGAAGCTCTCATTTTGTGGTCAGAAGTGAAAAAGAAAGGAGGTGGAATGGGCTGGGGTCCCAATGTCCCCTGAAAAATCCCCTAATGACCTAACTTCCTTCTTCTAGGCTCACTTAAAGCTTCCAATGCCTCCCTTTAGCACCATGAGCTGCCAACCATGTCTTTAACCCCAGATCCATGCTATAGCACTAAATATTACAAAGTAAATTTACAGACTGAGGAAATGACTCAGTGGATAAGAGCACTTATTGTGGAAACATGAGGACCTAAGTTTGAATTCCAAGCAGTTACATTAAAAGCTGGGCATGGCTACACATGCCTGTAACTCCAGTATTGGGGAGAAGAGACAGGCAGATTCAAAGAGCTCCCTGGCCAGCATGCCTAGCTAAAAGAGCAAGCTTTGGGTTCAGCAAGGGACACAGTCTCATGGCAATAAGACAGACAGCAATAGAGGAAGACACTCAACAGACCCCTCTGGCCTGCCTCCACATGCACACAAGTGTACCCACCTGCACACTCATATGCATGACCCACATCCATATACACATACAACACAAACAGCACACACACACACACACACACACACACACACACAAAGTAAGTTTAAAGATAAAATTCAAATCCATGTCTGATTGTTACATTTTTCTACTTTTTATTACATAGAGCTTCTCTTGAGAAACTGACTGACCAATGTTGACAAATAATGGTGACGTCCGTAGAAATCACAGGTTTATTATATTGTCTTAGCTTGGTTTCTGTTACTGTGATAAAACAGTGACCAAAAGCAACTTGGGGGAGGAAATGGTTTGTTTGGCTGACAGATTACAGTCTATCATCAAGGGAAGCCAAGGCAGGAGCCTAAAGGCAGGAACTAAAGCAGAGACCATGGAGGATGCTGCTGACTGCCTGCTTCCCTGGCCTGCTCAGCTACCTTTCTTAGCTATCCAAGGCCCACCTGTGGTGGGATAGCACTGCCACAGTAGGCAGCCCTCTTACATCAATTAGCAACCAAGAGAATACCCCCACAGCATGCCCACAGGTCAATGTAATGGAGGAAATTCCTTAATTGAGATTCCTTCTTCCCAGGTATATGTAAGTTTGTACCAACTTGACTCTAACCAGCACATATATAAATAAAGATTTGCTTGCCACTTGGCTTTAAATTTTTTGTTTTGTTTTGTTTTGAACATTTCAGTTCGACAGAATGTCTTGGAGAGAGAGAATCATGAGTTAGTGTGGCCAGAAAAAGGAACATTCAAGTTAACTGTCCGGTTGCCTCCAGACCAAGATGAAGCCTCAGTCTCTAAGGAGAAAATGCCAACAAAAGTGAGTAAAATTGGGAGGAACCTCAAAGGGAAATAGGGTGTTCTTCCAAGAGGTATGGGCATCTCAGTGATGAAAATATGGTGGACTGAGGACCTAAGTCAAACTAGAGTGAGCAGAGCAGCTTAGAACTGCGGGGGAGCAAAGATTGTGATGAGGCAGTGAGATAATGAAGGAGCAGGCATGGAAGACAACTTGTAGACACTTGGAAGTCAAGATTTGGGGGTTACAATATAGTTTGGGGTGTAAAATGTTGACTCTATTTCCCTTGGCTGCTTTATAACCAGAAACTTGCTGTTTCATTTTTCCATTGTTTTGAGGTGCCAGCAATCCATACTGAATGCACCGTTTCCTCGGGTGTGAAAAGAGTTGCCAGGGATGTCTATGGCACATATGCACAGGGCTTGCTACATAGCAAACAATACATACTAAGTGTGGGATCAGGACTAAGCTGTTCTTCCGACTTAGGTCATACCACATTCGCACACGGTTGATGTGAACTGGGGACTCTGTTGTGTCTCCTTTTCACCAATGATTGTTCTGAACAGCAAGTGATCTCACTATAGCATGTGCTCTAGATGTACTTAGGAGCTGGTGCCCCAAGTACTTCATTACCATCTCCATGCAGCCAACATCGCCAGTGAGGTCCAAGAGACACTTTCTTAATGGGAATAAGTAGTGCATTAATGCTCTTTATTGTTGAATTTTAGGAGTTCAAGACAAAAGAAGATGTTCAAGAACCAGGTAAAGTCTCAGGTAAGCCAGCACTGTGACATTCAACAGGCAGTTTTACTTCTCGTAAAGAAGTCACTTGGGGGATCGTCCCTCAAGCCTGACACTGTGTAAGGTCTGCTCAGCCTGGAACTGCCTTGGGTTGCATTAACTTCACATTCTAAGCTGGGTGTGTAGAGGACAGGCCCTGAGGGAGCCCCTTGAGTGCTTAGGGCTCAGGCCAGAAGAACAGGAAGAGAACTTTTGGGGGCTGGGAAGTGTCTGCAACTGAGGAGAGGGAGGGAAAGAAGTATCTGAGAGGTGGAGGACAGACTGCTAGAGACTTCGGTGGCCAAGAAGCAGCAACAACAGGACACGCCCTGGATGCTGTGTGGCTTGTCAGGTGCCGTTGCTCTGTGAGCACTGACTGTGTCCTCTGCAGTCACAGCAGGGAGCGCTGACAGAAGGACCACAGCTTTCCAGCACTGTGCAGGGTGTGGGTGCAGTGCCTGCTCCCACCTGGAGGTGGCAGCTCTCCTTTCCATACCTGCTGCAGGAAACACAGCCAAGCAGCTGCTGAGGCACTTCCTCCATTGCTAGTGTCTGGGCTTTGTCCTGTTGTCTGCCTGCCATTCATAGAGGCAGGAAATGGACAGCCATGCTGAATCAGAGAAGCAAGAGTACATATACAGATGTTTACACTCAAACCTTAGGTAAAGGCTTTCTTAGAGCTGTTTCAGTATTCGCCTCTAAAACTGAACTTGTCTGCAACATATGTAGTTTTCTGTAACTTTCTCTTTTTGGAAATTGACATTGAAATGACAGCTGTTTTAGTTAGCAAAATGACTGCTGAGGGACAGATAGTTTTCACCTGACATGGAGGTACTGTTACATTGTGGAATTTAGTGAGTCTATTTTTCTATTTTAAAAAGAAATGTGAAATTCGCATGAAATAGGAATCTTTTGTTTGTTTGTTTGTTTATAGATAAATTCTAGCTTCCACAATTCCCAGGAGATAAGAATTTCTTTTTTGGCTGTTAAGATTACTCCTGCTTTCCATCATTCAGATATGGAATTGGCTCATCCACTCCCAACATTTATTAATATAATTCCTTAAATAGTTGCCATTTTCTTAGAAGATGCTTTAAGTGCTACACTCTGAAGCTCAGTTTTAGACCAGGAAGTAGCTTTATATTTGTGTACTTACACCTACATTATGTTCTAGAACTGATAAGTACTCAAACCAGTGTTTTTTGTGGTCCTGTAGGTTTTATCCTAACTCTGTTAACTGATTTTCTGGTTCTGTTTTGAGTTGGTGTGAAACCCCTCATGTTCTTTGGGAGAGCCATCCAGCCTCTCTCTACCAGTGAGCTTTTCAGTACCCTTGAGATTTTGGAGCCATTTTCATTTGACCCAGGCTATAAGGATAGAAAGCAGCTATAAAGCTGGGTGGCTTTCAGCAAATCTTTCTGCTGGCTTGTCTAGGTGAGAGGAAGAGGCCCTTTGCTGGATAGTTTCTCCACATTGAATTCTGCCTCTGGCCCTAAGACTAGGACTAGGGGTAGACAGCTGCAGGACTGAGATGTAGAGGAGTTAGGTTCTAGGTCTCAGGTGTGGGTATCAGGGACTTTTGCCTCTGGCCCTAAGACTAGGACTAGGGGTAGACAGCTGCAGGACTGAGTGAGATGTAGAGGAGTTAGGTTCTAGGTCTCAGGTGTGGGTATCAGGGACTGCTGAACCACAGGTGTTTTAGGCATGCCTGAAACCCAACACCTGGAAGTTTGTAGGAGTTGACAGCATAGGGCCTGGCACTCACCAGTCCCATGACCTGTGAGCCTAACCCACGTCCAGTTCCAAGCTGAGTTTAGTTGGACTGGGCCTAAGGGGTGGAAACAAGCTACTGAAAGATCCTAAAAAAGAGAAAAGGGAATGGGCAGAGAAATACAAGTCGTCTGTGGTCAGCAAATTCTGGAATTTCCAAGTCAACATCTCCAATCTCAACTCCTTTCTAAAATTCCAGACCTCGGTCTGACCTTCCTGTTGGGAAGTCAGAGTCATCATGTCTGCAGGAAGTATGTCCACTTTCTCCCTGTATTTGATGTTTTTTTTTTTTTCTCATCACTGTGACAAAATACTTGACAGAAACAACTAAAAGGAGGAAGGATTTATTTTGGCTCACGGTTCAGAGGGAACAATCCATCATGATGGAGAAGGCACAGCAGCTGCAGGGACTTGGTCCATGGTGGAAGAATCTTGTGGCATGACTGTTCACATCTTAGTAGATGGGGAGCACAAAGCTCGGGCCAGAGATACAGTTGGGCTGTGACCCTCAAAGTCTACCCCCAGTGACCACCTCCACAAACCATGCCTCCCCCCACAATGGTTCCACAACTTGCCAAAGCAGGGTCACCAGCTCAGACCATGTGCACTAACTCCTGAACCTGTGGGGACATCTACATCTAAACCAGAACCAGTGGCCTCTTAATTTTTAAACCCTTTTTCTTTTTCTTTCTTTCTTTTTTTTTTTTAAAGTACACAGCCAAATTGCCTCCCATCTTCTAGAAACTTTAGGTACCTCTCTTCTTAGTCGTTTGTACCTGTTGGTCACAGACGCCTATTAATCTTTTTTTAATTCTTTCTCATCCATCCTTCTCTCACTGAAGCCCGCACTTATTACCTCTCAAGTCCAGTTTGCAGGAGTTCACACCTTGGTCTCTATCTCTAACACCCTCTCCTTCCATCTGACTGGTCCTCTGCTCTGACTCTCAATGTCCTGTCCTCTTTCACAGACCCCTGGCTCACTCCTGTCACCAACTGCAGGCGAAGTCACAGCATATTCTAGCTACTTTTCTGGCTTAGTTTCTTACATCTTTGCACAAAAGCAGTCTTTTTGAGACATATGTCAATCAGGTAGTCATTTTCTCTTTTTTCTTTCTCTCTTTTTTTCCTTCTTTCCTTCCTTTCTTTTGTTCATTTCTTTTTCATTACATTTTATTTTTATTTTTTATGGTTTATTTATTTTTATGGTGCAAGTATTGATGCAAGTATTTTGATGGCCAGTATGTTTACTAGTATGTGTGTGGTGCCTGTGAAGTTCGGAAGAGGATGGCAGAGCTGCCAGTGCATGCTGGGAGTTAAACCTGGGTCCTCCGGAAGAACAGCAAGTGCTCTTAACCCCTGAGCCACCTCTCCAGCCCCCCATTTTTATTTTTTTGAGCCAAGTTCTCACTATGTAGTTCAGGGTGGCCTAAAACTCACAATGTAGCCCAGGCTAGCTCTAAACTTGTGCTTCTCCTGTCTCTACCTCCTGAGTGCTGGTATCACAGGTCTGTACCACCTTGCCTAACTCAAGTTGCCATTTTCTAAGTGGTCTGGGTCACTCTCAGTTCTCTGCCCTACCACTCTTGCTCACAGTGCCCTATAACCCACTTTTCTCTACCTAATTCTATGCACCCCTCAGGGCCTGCTCAGCTTTCTCCTCTTCTCTGAGGCCCTTTCCACCCTGCCCAGTCCTGTTACCTTCTTGGACACTGACATGTTCCCAGATGCTCCCTGTTCATCAGTTCACCAAACTTCTCTCAGGATGAAGCCTCTAATAACCATGGGTTATAAAACTACATTGCTGGAAAGACCAGCTGTATAGTTCACTTAGTTCAGTGTTCTCATTATATAATTCAGAGACTTCCCCAAGGTCACAGGACTCAAGAGTAGCAGTCAGAGCTGCATGTGCTTGTGCACTCCTGTAATCTATCACTTGAAAGGTAGAGGAAGGAGGATCAGGTGTTTAAAGCCAGCCTTGGCTATATATCAAGTTCAAGGCCAGCCTGAGCTATATGAAACTGGCTCAAAATAGCAAGCAGAAAGAGTGGCTGTCAGGAATTGAACATATAGCTCCATCTCTAGCCCAGTATCCATTCTAGTTGGTCACATCTGTCTCATTAAGGCTGTTATGTTGCTGGTCAATCCTGAAGCTGTTTATAGTCAGCATGAGTGTATGCACATCTTCAGATATCCTTGCTTCCCTCCAGTGAGCCAAGCTGTAGTTCTGTAATTATGGAATATCTGCTGAGCTCAGCTGTATCCCATGTGCCAGCAAACAAAGAATCATGTGCCTTGCTTTTGAGAGGCTTAGTTCCCTAATTATGATTCAGAATCATTCTAGAAATATATGAAGGACAAAGTAGCCTCAGAAGGCATAAAAGGGGTAGTAAAACTGAATTAATAACAACAGACATTTTGTTTTATATTTTATGTATTTTTTGGTCTTTTGAGACAGGATCTCCCTGTAGCTGCAGCTGGTCTGGAACTCGGTATATAGACCAAACCGGCCTTAACCTCATAGAGATCTGCCTGCCTCTGCCTCCAGAGTGCTGGGATTAAAGGTATGCACCACCAACCCAGCTTACAAATGACATTTTATTTTTTAATTCACTGAAGTGAAAAGCTACCTAAGATTTGCTTTTAGCTGAGTTGATCAAAAGACTGGGAAAGGAAAGGTGGGGGTGTCTTGGGACAAAGTACTTTAATAAGATCACAACATAATACATTGTCCTCCCAAATCAGATTTATCAGAACTGGATATGAAAGATTCTCCCAGTGATCAATCCAAAAACGTGGAGAATATCCCAAGAGAATGTGAAAACATTCCCTCTATGGTGGCATTTGAAAATCTGCAGGCCAAAGTGACTGACACGGTGTTAACCATCTTGGTGGAGAATATAACTGGTCTCTCCAGTGACGACTTTAAGTTGGAGATAATCCGGGATTTTGCCATTGCCGTGGTTACCTTTCAGAAGCCTATAGGTGAGTCCATTGGCATCGAATCCCCAGGCTTCTATATATCGCACCTTGTGATGTGGGGGCTTCTCTGAAAGTCTGACTCTTTGTAGTGGCCAATAAAAAAGGACTATGGGTTAGTAAAGAGACTCTAAAATAAATTGGAAAGAGAAGCAAATTAGTTTTGAGGTCAAGTTCTGATATGCTTAATAGGCTGACTTTTATTATATGATGAGAGAGAGAGAGAGAGAGAAAGTCTAAGGTTATAAGGTTATTAGGAATCAGCATGTTCATGTTATCTCCCTGGGAGGAAATAAGATTGCTCTGTTACCAAGCTGGGCTTCCTAGGCAGTTTAACAATACCAATAAATACCCATACAGTGCTTACTGTAAGTCAGGTACTTGCTAAACTCTACACGAATGAATCTGTTCCTTTCAAGCACTCCAGGACATAGGTGTAAAAGTGCTGAGAGATGGGGAAACTAACTAGATTTGAGCTCGGGCAGCCAATTCCACTTCCTTTTCTTTTACTCATGTTCCCACATTCGTCTTTTGTAGGATGCTTTCATGGTTACATATGCAGAGATGAGTAAGTACATTTGATGTGGAAAATGATTACTTGGGCCAGCGAGATGACTCAGTAGGTAAAGGCACTTGCTGCCAAGCCTGAGTTCAATCCCTGGGACTCACATGGTGAGAAAGGAAAAAACTGACTCCCCAAAGTTATCCTCTTTCTCTGACCTACATGCACACCCAGGCGTGTGAGCACACACACAAACACACACATACACAGAGAAGAAAAGAAAAACAAGTGGTCTTATCAATGTCACGTGGAACCATCCCTACAAAAACAAAGCAAGCTTCCAATTCCAAACCTTCATTGTTCCATGGCTGTGGCAGTGGGATGGTGATTAAGCCCACAGATAGTGCGGTTAAATGTCTAGCCCTGCTACTTAACTAGTTGTATGAAACTGGCCAAGTTGTTATCTTCTCTGTGCCTCATTTTCCTCACCTATAAAATAAGATCCCTAAATGTCTGCAAAGATTAAATGGGATAATGTTTAAAAGGTACTTAAACTTAACATAGTACCTGAAACATGGTAAGGATTCAATAAAGGGCAGTCTTCTCATTTCAAGTTCACTATTATTTCTTATATGGGGCTATTTAGTGGACTTGCTTTTGTTCGCTGACCAACAATCTTGAATCCTTACTGGGTTAGTTTTCCATTACCGTAACAAATAAGTCAGGAAATCAGCCTGTAAAGAGAAAAGGTTTGTTTTGGCTCTCAGTTTTGGAGGCTTCAGTTCATGATCAGCCCTGTTGCTTTGGGGCCTGTGTTGAGGCAGTATCCATGAGGCAGGCACATGGAAAATTGTTTATCTCAATGGCCCAAAGTGAGAGATTTGGAAGGAACAGGCTCATCCTGTCCTCTTCCTCCCACACAGTGACTTGGATATTCCCCAGTAGGCCCTACCTGTGAAAGAGTCCATCACTTCACATTAGCACCAAGGTGGAGACTAAGCCTTTAACACATGAACCTGTGGAACAGTTTAGATTCTAACTGTAGCATTGTTATAGGCCAGGCACTGGTTTAGGCTCCATGGCAGGAAGATGACTATATCATGGTTCCAGTACTTGGGGAACTTTTAGTCTGGGAGCAAAGAGGAAACACATTTGTAACTGAATAATGAAGATGAAAGAGAAGTTGTCTCTCAGCTGTAATAACCTATGAGGAATGGGAGGAGGAGACCCAAGCATGGAAGAGCAGTTTTGCTCTTCTGAAGTGTGTACTCCAACAGAGCCAGTTGATCATGTCCAAAATGCACTAAGCTTATTCATGCTACTGCTGTTTCCTCTTTCCCCTATCCGTATGGCAAACTCCTCTTCATTCTTCAAGTAAAGTGATGGACTCTTTCACAGGTAGGGCCTAGTGGGGAATGTCCAAGTCACTGTGTGGGAGGAAGAGGACAGTATGACCCTATCCCTTCCAAATCTCTCACTTTGGGTCAAACCAGAGACCACATACTCTGGAAATCCAAGACTGGAAATCCCTAGTTCTATTTTTCTCTTAATGGATCTCCAAAAGGCAATTTCTTTGTATTCAAGACCTATACCCTCCTGCATGGTATACTAGCAAGGCCTTGCATTCATCTGTTTACCTAGATCCTGGCTAAATGGTTGGAACATCATATGCCCATCCACCACTGATCCCTGTTAATTTGAAAGTGCTAGTTAGGATCAGTTCTGCAGGGTGAATAGAATCAAATTTAAAAACAGAAGAGGGCTGTGGATGTGGACCAGAGGTAGTGTTTGGATTTGATCCTCGGCATCACAATAAAACAAAAGCACCTCCATCCCGCAGATTGGAGAAGGTATTGTAGACACAGGAAACTATATATACAAGGTCAAAAGAAGGAGACTTTTAAAAGTGATTAATTTTTTATGGCAACATGGAAAATAAACAGCAGGGAAAGTGGTGCTTGGAAATGAGTTTGGTGTCGATGGTGAAGGGTCCTATAGGCCTCGCTAAGGGTGTGGGCTCCTGTCTGCTGGCATGGGGACCTTGAGGGGCTTGAGAAAAGAGTAGAAGGAGAGATATTGTGGAGAAGGCACTCAGGAGGCTTGGACATAATTGAAGCCAGCTCAGTGCAGAAAATGCCAAGATTAGCTTTCCCTTCTCAATGAACAGCCATGCAATTTCTCCTGCATTTACAGAAATGTAATAATAATTTTCTGATTTTTTGTTTGTTTTGTAGATGTTGAAAAATTTGTTTTTGATTGTATCAGTCACCATTCAAATAAACAACTCCAGCTTGCACCGAGACTCCTGGAAATGACCAAAACAATCAGGGTGGAAAACTTGCCACCTGGTGTTGATGGCTACCACTTACAACTTTTCTTTGAAAGCCCTTTCAATGGAGGAGGAAGAGTTGCCAAAGTCGAATGCTTTCCTGAAGAGAGTTCAGCACTGGTTGAGTTCTGTGACAGGAAAGGTAGTGTGTCTCAGCCTCACACCCCTGGCATAATCCAGGCCGTTTCTGCAGATTTCAGCAGCTAGTTAAAACCTCATGCATATTATGTGTATGTTCATATATTTTTTTCAGAAATGGAATCAATTGCTGGGCATGGTGGCACATGCCTTTAATCCCAGTATTCAGGAGGCAGAGGCAGGCAAGGCCAGCCTGGTCTACATAGTGAGTTGCAGGCCAACTGGGGCTATGGTAAGACTCTGTCTCAAAAAACAAAAGAAAGGAAGGAAGGAAGGAAGGAAGGAAGGAAGGAAAGAAAGAAAGAAAGAAAGAAAGAAAGAAAGAAAGAAAGAAAGAAAGGAAGAAAGAAAAATGGAATCAATCACTTAGTCACTTGGATTTGAGGCATATTGAGGGCAGCAGTGCAGCGTTTAGAGAAGCAACACAAAGTAGATGAGAGATAAAAGATGCTCTGAGCCTCCATCTATGACTGGGAATGATGCTGTTCTTAGAGCCTTTGAAATACTGTATGTAAAAAAGTGGAAATCTGTGTTTTAGCTATCCATATTGAATCTCAAATTGATTTCAACAAGTTTAGGTAAAGACATACTCAGAAACATGTCTAGTTCCTGTAAAGTGTTTCTATTCCCCCCGTTTCCTGTCAATGTGCTTATTCAGGAATTAATAAGGGTGGCTTCACATGACCTCAGGATGGAGATTGGAAGGCATATTGAGGATGACATCTCTGATGGTTTTTGGGTCAGATAGACCTGAGTTTGAATCCTGGTTGGTGTTTATTGGTTTTGTGGGCTTTAACCCACCAAATTCTCTGCTTTCCCATCCGTAGAATGGATATCACATCACTAGTTAGCCTCCTTGGAATATTGTGAAGATTAAATAAAATATCCCTGAGGAGATTGTTACAGAGGCAAGAAGAGGTGCCGGGCTTATGAAACCTTAATCTCTGGCTGGGCTCACTGATGACTGTAAGGATGATTTAGCTTTGGTTGAAGGAGCAAGAACATAGGCTTCCAGGTTGGCCAACATTGGCGATCAGCTCAGATATTTACCCTCATCTGTGGAGCCCTGTTCAAGTTATCTAACCTTTGCCAGCCACAGTTTTATCATTTGTAGCTCAGGATATGTTTCTCTATCAAAAGACCACTGTGAAGATTAAAGACATTAAATTCTCTTAAAGAATTGGAAAACTGTCTGATACAAAGTAAGCTATTGCAATTACGATTCTCCCCATAAAGATAGTAACAGAATTCAAGTCACCATGAATGCTTAAATTCTGGGACTATACAAGAAGGAGAAGATGACAGAATACTTCATTTTGAGGACTAAAATATTCTTTTTGCTTGGCAAACATCAGCTATATGCTCGTGACCAAAATTATTATCTGTTTCTTGTCCTTTCGGTTGTGATCCTGAATCTTTATCAGCTGCATCATCTCTCCAGCCCAGTTATATCTGTTTCTTCATGAGGCAATAAATATTAAAGGCATCAGAAAAACCATAGAATTTAATTAACATTATTTCAGTGTACAGTAATTTAAGCATTAAGTAATGATTGAATTAAATTAGATCTACCTGTGCATGGTTGATACATATCAATTTATATTTGATTGTGTGAGAACAGTGCTGCCTCTGAATTCTACAAACCTTAGAGACCTTCTTCTTCTAGGAAAGTTTGAAACATGTCACATTGAGATGACTATTTATTTATTTATTTATTTATTTTTCTTTTAAAGTGTTAGACACCATCATGACCAAGAAACACAAGTTCAACAAGATGCCCCTGTCCATCTTCCCCTACTACCCATCTTTGGGCACAGCCTTATATGGTGAGGAGAAACCTCTGATCAAGCTCCCAACATCATTCCAGGAGTCACTGGATCCTCCCTTATGGAAGTTCTTTCAGAAAAAGGACCATTTGATAAAGGAAATTAATGATGAAATGAGGCATTGTCACTGTGAGTTAACATGGTCCGAAGGCAATAGCAAAGTTACCATCAGACCTGCGGCCACCTTAGTCAACCAAAGACCAAGAATCAAAACCTGGCAGAAGGATGCATCCACAGCGCTGTCTGACATCAGGTCTAAATATAAAGTTCAGTTGTTTGCAGTGGATTCACTGGTATGGGACATGATAAAAAATGACTTAGGAGATGACAGGGTTTGGACTGAGTTTGATGTGCAAAAGAAGAGTCTAACCTTAGCAGGAAAATCAGAAGATGTCCAAGACATTGGCCAGAAAATAAAGAGATTAATAGAAAATGCTACTGAAAAAATTAGAAAGGAAGAACAAAGTCTGAAGGAAAAAGTGGCCGTTTCTCCAGGAAAGCATTTTCTTTTGCATCAGAGTGGTCTCCTGGAGGATCTACGAAAAAAGTACCCAGAGATGGAGATTTCTTATGACACAGCCACTCATTACTTGTGCTTTAAGGGGCTCCGTGCAGATGTGTATCAAGTCAAGTGTGAGATCCAGGACAAGGTGTTTGCCATGGTTCAGAAAGGTGTTCCGTTTCCTCCTGAAATCTTCACGTTCCTGCAGCATGTAGACTGCCAGGAACTCTCCAAGGCTCTTTTTGCAGCACAGAAAACTCTCGGAACATATGAGCTGAAGGAAACAACGGTTCTCTTAACCAGCTCCTCTTCCAATGCCCTGTTAGAGGCTGAGCAACAAATGCACAGAGCCTTAAGTTTCAAGCGCATTGAAGTTGAGGACAAGGAAGTTCTTAGAAGTAATAAGTGGAAAAAGAAAATCCACACTCTGCAAAAGAAACACAGTTCTTCCATAGACATTACAGTAATGAATGAACTAACTTCAGAAACCCCGGCCGAGGTCATCATTGCAGGCTTCAGGACAGAAGTAAATGAAATCCATAGCACGCTTTTTGGGTTCTTGGAAAACAGCATGAAAATTGAGAGACTGATTGAAATAGAGCAATCCTTGGTTATGGACTATCTAAAATCAGACAAGAAGCTCCTCTGGCCAAAGATAAGGAGGGCAAATGTGCAGGTAGATTTTGAGGCTGAAAACAAACCAAAGGGCATTTTACTAAGTGGCTTCAAGAGCAAAGTACTAGAGTGCATGGACATTGTCAAGCAATTCCAGGCTTCAGTTTGCATTAAAAGCTTTCATACTGACAAGCCGGGTGCCAGGCAGTTCTTCCAAGATAAAGAGGCATATTACAAAAGTGAGGTCAGACGCCTTTATGGCTGTGCCATTGAGCTCCAGGAGAATGGAGAGAGGAAGAGAGGCAGCATCTCTGAGCAGAAGTGCCTTGTTCGGAGGGACGTGGTCCCTGGAGTCACGCTGACTGTACAGCAGGGAGATCTGACTCGGTTTCCTGTAGACGTGGTGGTGAATGCTGCAAATGAGGACCTTCAGCATATTGGTGGGCTTGCCCTTGCTCTCTTAAAAGCAGCTGGGCCTGACCTTCAAGCAGAATGTGACCAGATAGTGCAAAGGGATGGCAAGGTCCTACCTGGCAATGCTACCATCTCAAAAGCAGGCAAGCTCCCTTGCCACTATGTCATCCACGCAGTAGGGCCTCAGTGGAGGGGAGATGAGGCTCCAAGGTGTGTGCACCTGTTAAGGAGGGTTGTGGATCAAAGTCTCATTTTAGCCGAGAAGTACAAGTGTGAGTCCATAGCCATCCCAGCTATCAGCTCTGGAGTCTTTGGCTTTCCCTTAAACCGGTGTGTATTGACCATTGTTTCCACCATCAAGGACAACTTCCAACATAAGCAGAGTGGACACACCTTGAAAAAGATTTACCTGGTGGACCCATCTGACAAGACCGTGGGGGCCTTTGCTGAAGTTGTGAGAAATCTATTTGTAGACAACCGGCCCCAAATACCTCCCAAGGTACAACCCCAGCCCCGACCAGACTCCTCACCCGGCTTAAAAGAAACGACCTCACCTGGAAAAGTGTCACAGAAACAGGGCTGTCTGGTGTCCCCAGAAGGCCTGAAAATCCTTTTGATAAAAGAAGGTGTGCAAAATGCTCAGGTGAGTGTCGTTGTTTGCCACCAGTGTGCTGTGGTGTCTGCAGCTGCCTGATTGAGGGTCAAAGGAAGACAGGATGAAGGGAGAGAATGGAGAAGCTAATTCCATGCCCTCCCTCCTCACCTTCAGTTTTCCTTAGATAGTGGAAGTTTTTCCCAAATAACTTATGACTAGGGACTGGCCTATTGGTAAGAATTGACAGAGTGCTGAGACCAGATCACTCAGTTTCCAGAAAATGTAGGAGACACTGTGTGGCTCGCCACACATCTTCATTCTTTTCCATCTATTATGTTTGGTCCATCTAGGGTTTGTTCTCAGATAACAGGTCAGGAATCTGTCAGTGGAGATGGGGAAGGGTGAAGTTGAGGACTGCAGTGGAGCAGCCTCTGTGCCCAGTATCCATCTGTTGGTCTTTTGGGGTGAGGGCAAGTGTGGGTGGACCTGAGGAAGGTTCAGATGTTGGGAATCATGTAGGGACAACTCTTGGGGTGTGTGTGTGTGTGTGTGTGTGTGTGTGTGTGTGTGTGTGTGGGGGGGAGTTAGTATACTTCTGGATAGACTGGCAGCCAGCCTATCTACACACACATGCTAGGTTATAGACACAAGCAGCTATCCACCCAGCTAACCCACTGTGTCTCCCCCATCCCAGCTAATATGTTTTTAAAAACTATTTAATGCCCCTTCCAACAGTCTCTGACTAATCTGAAGCAGGGCAGGCACCTACTCACTAGCCAGTAGCTGCTGTTCTCTCTGGATGATCATAAATATGTCTTCCAGTGAATGTCAGCCCCACCCTTCTGTTGGCTGCAGAGGGTCCTGGTCCAGAGCCAGGTGACCCTCTTCTTCTGCCTCCCATATATCTTTGAGCATTTTTGTTTTTGTGGTTGTTTCATTTTTTCATGGGAACTCTTGGGGCTAGAGAGTTGGCTCAGCCATTAAGAGCACTGACTGCTCTTGCAGAGAACCTGGGTTCTAGTCCTAGCACCCACAAGGCTGCTAACAACTGTCTGTAACTCCAGTTCTAGGGGAATCTGATGCCCCCTTCTGACTTCCAAGAGCATTGCATGACATGGGCACACTTACACACATGTAGGCAATACACTCATACACATAAAATAAAAATAATAAAATATTTTTTAAAGGACGTCTTGACTGAGGATGTAGCTCAGTTGATAGAGTGCTTGCTTAGCATGCATGAAGCTCTGGGTTCAGTTCTCCAGCACTGCATAAAGCAGGGGTGATGGTACATGTCTATAATCTCACATTAGGGAGGTGGAGGCAGGAGAATCAGAAATTCAAGGTCATCCTCAGCTACAGAGTGAATGAATGTGAGGCTAGCTCAGGATACATGAGAACTTGTTTTAAACAACAACACAGAACCTCAAAAGATTACAACTTACCTAAAGGAAAATAAGCATCATAATACAGTGAAAAAATTTAAATTAAAGGTTTATTCTTCAGGGCCAAGGACCTCAGCTAAGGACTTGTGTTTCCTTCTCTCTTGGAGAAGATTCAACAACCCCCCAAAATGGGTAAATATTTAGTTTATGAAAGTTTAAAGTAAAAATGTATTTTATATACCTATTTGAGCAATATTATTTGTAATAATAAACAAAAATTAGAAATAATTGTTCATCAAAGGGTGAATTTTAAAATGTACTTTATAGGCTGGAGAGATGGCTCAGCAGTTAAGAGCACTGGCTATTTTTGCAGAAGACCCAGGTTCAAATCCCAGCACCCACATGGTAGGCTAACAACTGCCCATTAACTTGAGTTCCAGAGGATCAAATGCCCTCTTCTGTCCTCCATGGTCACTTACACACATGCAGGCATAACACTCACACACATAGAATAACAAAAAAAAGAGTTATTACTCTTAAAATTTATGCATGTGACTCTGCCTCTCTATTTCTGTCTCCTCTCTCTCTCTCTCTCTCTCTCTCTCTCTCTCTCTCTCTCTCTCTCTCTCTGGCACAACATGTGTGCAGGTGACCAGAGAGGACAGAAGAGGCCATGTGCTCATGTGGAGACAGAGATACAGGGTGTGTGTCACACAGAGAAATATATATATGTGTGCAGGTGACCACAGAGGACAGAAGAGGCCATCTGATCCTTTGGAGCCAGAGTTACAGGCTGTGAGTCACACTGAGAACTAAATATATCCCTGTGCAAGAACAGCAAGCCCTCTTAATCCACTGAGCCATTTATCTAGCCCCTACAATGACTTTTTTTTTCTTTTTGAGACAGAGTCTCCCTGTAGCCCCAGCTGGCCTGGAACTCACTATGTAGACCAGGCTGTCCTTGAATTCACAGAGATCTGCCTGCCTCTGCCTTCCAAGTGCTGGTACTAAAGACATGTACCACCACACCCAGCTTACAGTGAAATTTTCAACCAGTCCCTGAAAGTCTTATTCAAAGACCAACCCCAAAGTCCTAAATTATCACCATTAGGTGTCACTTGTCCTCAACATCTTTCAACAGCAGACAACTAGGTATGCTGGATATGATAGTAAATGAAATGAATTAGATGTCACAAACTTGTTTTGCTTTGACTTTTTTTTTACAAGAAAAGGTATTTGTAAGCTCCATCCAGACAGTTCTGCTGTGATGTGATATGATATGATATGATATTATATGATGAGATGAGATGACATGATATGACATGACATGACACAACATGACATGATATGATGTTGCACTAGATTCTCTCCTGGGAGACTTGTGCATGCGCTCTGGTGTCCCAGGGCCACAAGGTCCTAACACTGACCGACAAAACAGACACTATGCATTCCATTTGGGTTTTTGTATAAAGTTTATAAAATCTGAAAGAAGGTTACTTACAAAGGCATGCACCCATAGGCTCTTTCCCTACATCTTGGTTAAGCTTTTGAGATCCGTGCTGCTAGTGCCAAGTCCCCACCTTGCCAAGGTGGTGACTTTTCATCGCTTTCTGACTTCCTCAGTGCTTCCTTAGACCTTCTCCCTTATGCAATTGAAGCTGACCAATTGGGCAAGAGGTGACTGTCTCTAGTTCCCTCAGAGAACACACCTATCCAGCATATGACATGGTATGATATGATATGATGATATGATGATATGATATGATATGATATGATATGATATATGATGATATGATATATTTGTTTACACAGTGCCAGGGGATTGAACATAGAATTTCATGCATGCTAGGCAAATACTCTATCAGCTGAGCTATATCCTCAACCAAGTCTTCCTTTTGAAAATGCACAGAGCTGTGTAGGAGGCCAAAGGAGAGGGTCACCTGGCCCTGGCTCCAGGACCCTCTAAAGCCAGCAGAAGGATGGGGCTGACATTCACTGGAGGACACACATATGGTCATACAGAAAGAACTGAAGATACTAGATAGCTACAATCTAATTATAGTTCACTTTTGTCACTGTAGAAAGAAATGTGCCCATTAGCAATTATTTCTATTCTATCCATACACTCACCCCACCTTCCTAGCCCTATGTAAATCTGATCTAGTCTTCTATAGACTCACCTGCTCTTGAAGTTTCATGTAAACTAAATCATACAATTTGTGGTCCTATCTAACTGGCTCCTTTCACTGAGAAGAATGCTTTCATGGCTCATCCATGACAAAGCATACATGGGTATTTCATCCTTTTAGTGGCTGAATGTTATTCTATTGGATGGTGTATTAGTCACTTTTCTGTTGCTGTGATAGAAACACTGATGAAAGCAATTTATAGAAGGAAGAGTTTATTTGCACTTATGGTTCCAGGGGAATTACAGTCCGTCATGCCAGGGAGGCATGGTGGCTGGAGGTGGCTGGAGCAGGAGCAGCAGAAGTGAAGCTCTCACATCATCACACAGGCACAGGAAGCAAGAGAGGAACTGGAGATCTGGCAAGGCTTAAGACATCTCTAAGCCCACCCCCAGTGACATGCTTCCTCCATCATAACCACACATTCTAAAACCTCCCCAAAAGTACCATCGTCTGGGGACAAAATGTCCAAATACTTGGAGCCTATGGGGGACATTTTCATTCAAACCACCACATTCTACCTCCTGGCCCCCATAGGCTCATGACCATATAAAATGCAAAATGCATTTAGTCCAACTTTAAAAGTCCCCATAGTCATTATCAATCTCACTACTATTCCAAAGTCCACAGTCCAAAGCCTCTTCTGAGACTCAGCAAAATATCTTAACTGTAAGCACCTGTAAACTCAAAAGACAAATTACATACTCCCAACATACAGTGGAATGGAATACACATTACCATTGCAAAAGGGAGGAATAGAAGCATAGTAAGGAAATACCAGACCAAAATAAGACCTAAAACCAGCAGGACAAACACCAAATCCAGTAGCTCCATGTTTGACTTCTGGGACTTTACTTCCAAAGGGCTTAGATGGCTCAGACTCTCCAGCTTTGCTGCATGCAACACACATTTCTCTCTTGAGCTGGTACCACTGCCTGTATGCAGGTCTTCTTGGCAGATGCCTCACAGCTCTGATATCATGAACATCTTCTTGAGTCTCCCTTGCCAACCAGGCTTCCCCTTCACAGCTTCATGCAATGGCCTATCAGGGTCTTCTCTATGCAGAGGAACCCCTGCTGCATGCTGCTTGGCCTCAGCAGCTCTCTGAAACTGTGGAGGAAGAATTGATGACCCCTTCACTCTTGCATCTTTCATGCCTCTAAAGCCAGCACCAGGTGAACAACAATGCCAAGTTTGACAGAAAGTTTGGGATGGACTCCAGCCTGCTTTATCCATTTTAGAAGCTTGTCTCCTCAGTGGTCCCTGCAGTGTTTTCCTTTCACAAACTGGAGGCTTAACTGGGTGTGGTCTTGTCCTGGAGGCACTCTCTCCATTGTTTAAGTTTGAATCTCTAGGCCTCTCCTTAATCACTTCAATCTTCTTAATCACTTTAATCTCCTTATCAATGGGATCCTCTCTATCACATGCCAGGGCTCCAACATTTATCTTTCAAGTGCTCTTTTTCAATTCAAACTGCATTTCTTTTTGCCCCATTTGCTCTCTTTCACTATAGATCTGCATAATATTCATCATTAATAGCCATGCTACCATTTCTACGTTAGGCTGTCTTGAAATTTCTTCTGCCAAAGAAATTAGTCCATTACTTTTCAACTTAGCTTCAGGCAAGCTTTTTTGTCTAGGGCAGACTCCAGCCAGACTCTTTGCCAAAATATCCCAAGTGCTGCTTAAGTCCTTATTTCCCTCTGAAACTCCATTGTTTTCAGTACTACTTTCTTCCAGGTGCCTACTAGAATGGCCTGTTAAGCTCCACTTACAGTAATCAACCGCTTTTCTAGCTTAACCTACCAAAGTCTTGCACATTTCTTCAAAACCCCACATGATCAGGTTCTTCACAGCCAACAGCCCACTCTCTGGTACCAATTACTGTATTAGTCACTTTTCTGTTGCTGTGATAGAAACACTGACCAAGTTTATTTGAGCTTTTGGTTCCAGGGGAATTACAGTCCGTCATGGCAAGAAGGCATGGTGGCTGGAGGTGGCTGGAGCAGGAGCAGCAGAAGTGAAGCTCTCACATCATCACAGGCACAGGAAGCAAGAGAGTGACTGGAGATCTGGCAAGGCTTAAGAACTCTCTAAGCCCACCCCCAGTGACATACTTCCTCCAGGATAGCCACACCTTTTAAAACCTCCCAAAACAGTGCCATCATCTGGGGACAAAATGTCCAAATACTTGGAGCCTATGGGGGACATTTTTATTCAAACCACCACAGATGGATATACATTTTGTTTGCCCATTCATTAGCCAGTAGATATTTGAATTGTTTCTATTCTCTGTTTTCCTGAGCCTTGGTTAACATAATGTATAGGAGCAACTGTTGTCTTCATTGTGCCCAGCCCAGGGGCTCAAATGGAGTCATTATTGATGAATATCTTAACTGAGAATTTGAAACAAATCTTTGGCTTTGTCTTTAAGGCCCATGTCATTGTCAACTCCATTCCCTCGGATCTTGCACTCAACAAAGGACCCCTTTCTCAGGCCTTCTTGGAAAAGGCTGGGCCAGAACTCCAGGAGGAACTCAACGAAGTAGCACAAGGGTACTATGTCAACGTGGGCACAATTCTTTCAACCAGTGGTTGTAATCTTCCCTGCCGCCAAGTGTTCCATGTGGTGGCTCCGCAGTGGAAGACTAACAACACTGCATGGTCACTAAAGGTAGGGCCTGGCTTGAAATTTTCCAGAGAATGGGATATCCCTCTGTACTCTTCATTCAGGATACCATAGGGTAGCCTGTCTGCTTCTCTTCCATAATAATAGCACATTTTTGGCAGGTCCCATCGCTGTGGCCATTTCTGTCAGTTGTGGATGACTTCTTTCGGGTAATGGTTACTAACAGGAGTTGGTCATTGTGGTCAGTTAACTATTGTGGGTCAGGGAAAGCAAATGAGGAAAATGAGGTAAGAGTTGAAGACAGGAGATGGTGAGGGAGGAGGATAGTAAGGGATGAGGATGGCTATCACTGTCCCTCTTTCCTTCATGGTGCAGTGAGTCTCCCTCATTGTAGAGGATCTCTAAACTTCCTTTCCCTCTCCTGTGCTCTCTCCTCTTCCCACTGCCATTAAGGTCTGCTGAAAGCATGGTGAGTGGCCAAAGCTCCCAGTGAAAGCTGCTTGTTCTTTAGGGTCTCCCGTTTCTAAGCAAGATGATTAAAGAAGTCCTCTGTGCTTTTCAGATCATGAAAAACATAATCACAAACTGTCTGAAGGACACTGAGTTATTGGCTCTACAATCAATTGCATTTCCAGCAATAGGAACAGGAAATTTGGGATTTCCTAAACCTGTGTTTGCTGAATTAATAATTTCACAAGTGCTAAAATTTAGTAGAAAGAATAAACTGAAAACTTTACGAGAGGTTCAACTTCTGCTGCACCCGAAAGATCATGAAAACATTCAGGTACTGTCTCAGCTCATTTCCAGTTGTTTCAGGAACCTTGGTTTGGAACCTCATATTCTCATATGTCTTCTTGGTCTAATAGGATGTTTCTTTCATGTGTTTCCCATACATGAAGCATGAGAGTAGTGTTAACTAGTTGTATGACAAATTGTAAGAAAAATTAGAGATACAGAAAAGGTATAATTTCTTGTTTAGGAATTTTTTCCAAACACACAAAAGTCCATAAGATAGTCTAATGATCTCAAAAATACCCCCCCCCGAAAAAAGATAGTCTAATGAACACCATTGAATCTAGCACTCAGCCTCAACTGCTGTCAACTTACAGACAAAATGTTTGATCTTTCTCTATCATAGTTCCTTCCCCTCCTTTAAAGTTATCTTAAAAGAAAATCCCAGGCATATAATTCTCTCTAGACAATTCAGCAATTTATTTTAAATAAGAATGATTTTTTAAAAACAACCACACAACTATAAAACAGCTTGAAAAATTGACAATAATTCATTTGATTTGGTTAGTTATAATGTCAATGTTCAGATCTCCAGTTATTTTGTCTTTTTGAGACAGGGTCTCCCTGTAGCCCCAGCTGGCCTGGAACTCACTATGTAGACGAGGCTGGCCTCGAACTCACAGAGATTTGCCTGCCTCGCAAGTGCTGGGATTAAAAGCATGTGCCACCACACCCAGCGATCTCACAAATATTTCATTCTGTCTTTATAGCTTTGTGTTTGAATCAGAATCACAGAAGGCCCATGTGTTGTAATGTTCCTTAAGGCCCTTTTTATCTACAGGATTCCCTTCCAGGTCGACATGGAAATACTAATATATAATATAAAGACACAGTTATGTGGCCTTATCAATGGGAAAAACCTCAGGATGGGATGGCAGGTGATTCCTATTCCCACTGATGAAAATTTAATTAATTCTAAGAAAACAGTGTCTTAGAACACACCAGCATATTCCCATCTGAGCAGATTTGGATTAGAAATACCAGCACCATTGTCAGTTGTGTCTGTTAGTCAGCTCACTCTACTAAACATCAGCTGGACTTAGCATTATAGGAACACTGGAGATATTTAAGCCCCAGCCCCTGGCCTCCATGTCGTTATAATCCAGCAAGTATATGGCCTTAATGTTTGAAAAGCTCCATAATGTTGCAAAAAATTAACAGATCAAAGCTAGCAACTCTGTAGATGCCCATGGATTGGGCTGTCTGAATTTCTAGGTCACTATTTTTATCAGGATCTAGACATTACCTATGAATTCACTGGAAGCAGGCATACTGAACTTACATTCTAATCATGTAGCCATACCACCAAGTAAAGTATGTGATCCTTTAGCTTGGCGTGTATAATCACAGCTGAGTTTGTTTGGGTTTTGTTTTATTATTTTTTTTACTTTTCTATTTTTTGTTTTTTCAGGAAGTGTCTTTCTTTAGTCCCAGCTGGCTTGGAACTCACGATGTAAACGAGGATCTCATAGTGATCCTCCTGCCTCTGCCTCTGAGTGCTGGGATTAAAAGCTTGTGCCACCATACCCGGCTTTTTAAAAAAAAAATTGTAGTTTTAAAAAATTTTATGTGTATGAATGTACATTAAGTATGTAAGTGCACCTGTCATGTAATGCCCGTGGAGGCCAGAAGAGGGCGCTGGATTCCCTGGAACTGGAGTTATGGGCAGTTGTTAGCTGCCATGTGGGTGTTGGGAACTGAACCCAGGTCCTCTGCAACAGTCAGTGCTCTTAACTGCTGAGCCAGCTGCCCTCCCCACCCCACTTTCTTTGCTTTCTTTTATTTTTTGAGACAGAGTCTTACTATGTAGCCCAGACTGACCACAAACTCATGGTAAATGGTTTTGCCTCAGTCTCCAGAATCCTGGGGTAACAGGCATGCACCAACCTGCCCAACTAGAAGAGTTTTTAATAATTTATGGCATGCATTGTGTAAGGTGATGTGAGTCACTGAACAGTATGCAGCACATACTTTCTCGTCTAGAAATAATAATTACTTTGGGTTTATAATCATAAGACAAACTATATTGGAGAAATGGACTACTGAGATTTTTGTATAATATGAACGTTTGAGGGGCTGGAGTGATGGCTCAGCAGTTAAGAACACTGGTTGTTCTTACAGAAGACCTGGTTTGAATCCCAGCACCCACATGGCAGCTAACAACTGTCTGTAATTCCAGTTCCAGGGGATCCGACAGCCTCTTCTGTCCTCTGTGGGCATTGCACGACATGGGTGCACTTACCTACATGCAGGCAATACACACATACACATACACATAAAATAAAAATATTTTTAAAAATTTTTAAAAAAGAAAGAAATTTTTTAAAAAAATGAACGTTTGGTGGATAAGGGCTGTGAGTGCTGAGACACAAACCCAAGCCTCCAAATCTTATATCTGGTCTTCATTTCCTTTAATAAACAAGGTATTCTGCAATTATTTTATGAAAAAGATTAGTCTCTACAGACACTTTTAATGCCATTTTTAAAACATCTTATGGGGGGAGGCTGGAGAGATAACAGTGGTTAAGAGCACTGGCTGCTCTTGCAGAGTACCTGGGTTCGATTCCTAGCACCCACATGGCAGCTAACTGTAATTCCAGTTCCAGGGGATCTGATGCCTTCTTCTGATCTCTACGGGCATTGCACAACATGGGCGTACTTACATCCATATAGGGAATACACTCACACATGTAAAATTTACAAAAAACAAATATTAGAAAAAAATCTTTTTTTAATCTTATTTTTTCAATGTGTATGTGTGTCTTGCCTGCATGGATCTAAGTCTACCACAGGCATGCAATGCCCACAGAGGCCAGAGGAGGGTGTCAGATCCCCTGGAACTGGAGTTACTGACGGTTGTTAGCTGCCATGTAGGAGCTGGTTATCTGCAAGAGCCATCTCTCTAGCCCCCTCTTTGCAGAAATTTTGAGTAATACAAAATGAGTAAATTCTTTAGCCATCTTACATCCAAGTCTTCTTTGCTATAGGTGTACTTTTAAAATGAGATTATATAATACGTAATTTAATATCCTTTTCACTAAATGTTATACAATAAACATTTCTCTATTCCATTAAATATTCTTTGAGAACACGGTTTTTAGTGGCTGCTAAGTATTTTAATACATGGATATGTGAAAATATATTTAGCTATTCCTCCACTGGATTTTAATGGTCTCACTTGTTCTCTGTTATGAGCAGCTCTTTAATTACTATCTTTGTATTTATTTATATATTCAGTTCCATATTTGACTATTTTCACAGGGCACATTTGTAGAATCAGAACTGTATGTACATTTTCATAGCTTTAAGATCTATAATCAAATTAAATGATACTGTTTGGGAGTTATTCTTTTCCAAATACATATATGTGCATATAGGATGAGCCAAACTCATTCATCAACTGAGAAGTATAATGGACAAAACTGTGTTTGCATTTCCAGGCATTTTCAGATGAATTTGCCAGAAGGAATAATGGAAATCCTAGTAGCAAATACCCCAAGGCTGAAGATACACAAGGTTCAGTAAAGCTTTTAAATTGACAAATGATTTCTTGTTGCTAAGTAACTATTCAATCACAGGTAAAAAATGGTGGTGATGATTTTTCTGAAAAAAAAAAAAAGATAAAAAATGGTATGGAACCTACTAAACTATGGTCCATACATGTGAATGTGCAAGATACTGGCTGTATTTATGGGATCTGGGGCAAGACAATGTGAGACAAGTTAGGTAATCCATACAGTGGGTTTTTAATTAGTAATGAGGCTACCAACTCAATGTGCAATGTGACAAGTGTTTTCCTAAAGACACATTGAGAGACAATACAAAACAAATGCTTCTCTGTCAAATTCGCTGTTGAGATTTTCTGAGTTTATTCTGTTTGTGGTTCACTGAAGTTCTTTTGCTTTTGTTTTCCCTTTTTTGAAACAGGGTTTTCCTGTGGCCCCAGCTGGCCCGGAACTTTCTATGAAGACCAGGCTGGCCTCGATCTCACGGAGATCCACCTGCCTCTGCCTCCTGAGTACTGGGACTAAAGGTGTGCACCACCACGTCCAGCTCAGATGCTTTGTTTTTAAGGTGAGATCTTGCCAGGCTGCCCAGGGCAGTTCCAAACTCCTAAACTGAAGGAATCCTCCTGCCTTAGCCTTCAGAGTAGCTAGGATTACAGGTACACTGCACCTGGCTTTACTGAGGCTTCTTAAAATAAAAAAGGCTTATTGTATAACTGTATTAATTCAACTATGAACCTAGAAACTTACAGCCACTTGTGAAAGGGATGTACTATTGCTCTGGAGTATGTTACTGAATATGTTAAAGCTGTAACGAAATGCTTCTTCTAATCATGTAGTTATTAAAAATTTTTTTAAAATAAATAATGATTAAAAAATTGCTACATTTTGCTGCGTGTGGTGGCCCACACCAAACCCTGGTACTCATCAAGGCCAGCCTGGACTACATAGTGAGACTCTGTCTCAATTTTTTTCATCAAATTTAGGATTTTTCAGTTATTGCTTCCTCAAATTTTTATTTTCTGCACAGCCCTCTGTCTTCTTTTGATAGGTCCAGTCATGTGACCATGAAGCCTTTCAAATGCCCCATAGACCTCTGATGTGCCCTTCCCCTCACTCTTTTCTTCAGATTCAATTGTTTATATTCTTTCAAGCTGGTGTTCATTCAAGTTCACAAATCCCTTCTCTACCCCACCCCCTATGCTGTTGAAGACATCCAGGCAATTTTTTATTTCAGACAGTGCATTTTGAAGTTCTAAAATATCTATTTGGGCTGGGCGTGGTGGCATACACCTGTAATCCCAGCACTTGGGAGGTAGAGGTGGGCGGATCTCTGTGAGTTCAAGGCCTGCCTGGTCTACATAGTGAGTTCCAGGACAGCTGGGGATACAGGGAGACCCTGTCTCAAAAAGACCCCCCCCAAAAAAAGCCAAAACCTATTTGGGTCTGTTTTGTATAGTTCCTACTTTTCTGTAAAGAGCCCCTGTCCTTCCATTCATTCCAAATCATTTCCATGTGTGTCTCTGTGTCTATGTCTGTATGTATGTCTCTGTGTGTGTCTGTGGTGTGTGTGTCTGCATATATGTGTATAAAGAGCTGAAGTGTCCTCTACCCAAAGTCTTCAGATCACAGAGACCGTTTTCTCAATCTTCTGAACACAAAGGTAGGCTTGTCTGAGTTTTGCTGCCACCTTATGAAGTTCTGGGACTGGGCCTGCTCTGGGGTCACAGTTGGGGAGAAAAGAAAAATTCAGAAACAAAACCGCATGGGAAACTCTGCCTCACACAAGCTGCTTTTTCATGTTTCGACTTCTTTCTCTGGGCTTCTGTTGTCCTTTTCTTTTCAGAGTTCTCAGGTGGTGGCACTTTGTGTGACCAGGTGACATGTTTGACATGTCTATTTTCTAATCCTTTTTCTAGAAAAAGACCATCACTGGGACCCTAGGTCCAGACCATAGTAAAGGATAGAGGTTCAGAGACAGGGCAGCCCTGCAGAGGGCACAGGTGAGCAGCTCTGCTTTCTTTTTCTGGGCAGGTTTCTATGGGACTCTCTCCAGCCCTGCTTTAGGAGTGCATGAAATGACCATCGGCTCCATCCTCTTCCAAGTGGCCACTGGAGACATCACCAAAGAAGTGGCAGATGTGATTGTAAACTCAACATCAAATACATTTAATCTCAAATCAGGTACATCACTCACACAGAATTTCAGTGATAATTAACATGGTAGCTCTGTGAAGGAGTATTTCTACAGCCAAACTGATTTTGATAACTTTGGCTTGTTAATATTAATATTTTACAAGTTCAACAGAATGCTGGGCATCTTTAAATCTTTAACTCCAACACTCAGGAGACAGAAGCAGGCAGGTCTCTGTGGGACATGCTGGCTCAAAACAACCAAAAAAAAAAAAAAAAAAGTTCAAGTTTCTTCTTACAACTGTTGTAACTGGAAATACTTTATGAAATTTTCTTATTCAGCAATACCAGGTATAGGACACTTTTGATGGCGGGGATGCACTTCAATGATAAGGCCATCTTTCTGGTCAGGATGTACTGCAGAGATTTTATATTCATGTTTGTTACCATCTCGATTTTCTCATGTAGGGGTATCCAAAGCAATTTTAGAAGCTGCAGGACAAAATGTGGAAATGGAATGTTCTCGTAAAGGTAAGGCACAAATTCTAAGTGGAAGATCGAATATGGGAGAATGTGAAGAAACCAAGAGACGACTTAGACTTGGGAAGACAGTGTATGAATCTTAAAATCACACATTTTGTTGAAGAATCCAGATTACAGAAAATTAAAAGCAAAAAGTTGTCTCAGATTAATGATAGACATTGAGCCACAAGATTTCATTAAATATAGTGTTCCAAGAGTTTAAAATATTTAATTCATTTATTTTATTTTATTTTTATGAGTGTTTTGCCTGCGTGTATTAGGTGTATCACATCTGTACAGTGCCTATGGAGGACAGAAGAGGGCGTCAGATCCCCTGGAACTGGAGTTATAGATGGTTGTTAGCTGCCATGTGGGTGCTGGGAACCAAACCCAGGTCCTCTGCATGAGCAGTCAGTGCTCTTAACTGCTGAACCGTCTCTCCAGTCCCCATGTTTTAAGAGTTTGAAACTTATGTGTCCTTGTCAAATCAGATATTTTGCTTTCTTAAAGAGTAGGTTCGGCATCTAATTCTGTGTCTTTTATCTGTTTCCCAGCTCAACAGAACAAAAAGGAGTATATAATCACAGAGGGCGGATTACTGAATTGCAAAAATATCATTCATGTCGTTGGTGGAAATGATGTCAAAAGTTCAGTTTCCTGTATTTTGCAAGAATGTGAACAACAGAATCACTCAACCATTTGCCTGCCAGCCATTGGGACAGGTAGGTTTCCTCAGGCTACCAAGGCTCAATCTTAAGGTATTCACTTGATGATGGATCTGGTACTGGTAGTAATACGGTTAATCAGCACTGAGTCTGAGTGAGGACAGGAACAGTTAATGTAGGAGTAGACAGTTTCTTCACTCCAGGCTACCCCCTTAAGGGCATGAGTAAAACCCATGGGTACTGCAAGTAAAAAAGAAGAAAAATGAGCAGGGTGCACTGGTGTACACACGTAGTCCCAACTGCTGAGGCAGGAGGATCACTCAGGCCTAGGAAATTCAGGTTAGCCTGGGCAACACAGTCAGACCGTGTCTCAAAAAAGGATAGGCCAGGTGGGTGGCACATGCCTTTAATACCCACACTCAGGAAGCAGAGGTGGGCAGATCTCTGAGATTGAGGCCAGCCTGGTCTACACAGTGAGTCTGGGCCAGCCAGGGCTACATAGTGAGATTCTGTCTCAAAAAATAGGAAGAGCAGAAAGAGAAGGAGGAGGACCAGAAAGATGAGGAAGAGGAGGAGAAAGAAGAGAAACCTAAAGGGAATATTATGACCTTAGAGAAAAAGAAGGGAGGGGATAAGAAGATGAGTAGAAAGACCATCCCGCATGGTCTTCATTAGTTCCCCCTTTTTTTACTTCCCTACATAGCTTCCATTTAATTCTTAACTTCCTCCTCTATCCGCTCTCCATGGAGAATATCCATTTACCAACTTCACCTGGCACTACCTACCTGATAAGGCATTTCTAGCCCTCAGCTCAATAGTCAGTGCTGTCTGTTGACCTTTGGACCTCTCTTTGGAGGAGCCTCTCAGACTCCAGAACGTTTTGAGTTGGAAACTTGGCTCAACACTTTCTTTTTGACCCAATTGCTTCTGGGTTTCTTGTTCTCTTCAAACTGTGTGAGGACTATGTGACTTCTCACATATAAGTACCATGCTTTGGGCTTATCATTAATTAGGGGGGTGGTTATCATTGGTTAGGGGACAACCTTGAAGCCCTTCCTCAGGAGTCAGAGTCATGCACATTGATGGTGTTTAGGAAAGGCATGCACTCAGATCAAAGCGGGATGGGTGGAGCTGGAGACCAAGCCCTAAAGCTGTCCTGCTGTTGCTTGGAACCTAAGCTCTACTGTCTTCAACTGGCACTCCACACTCCCTATGCCTTACTTGTGGTCATTCTATCCATTCCTCATAGTGTTCCAAGATGTATCTATGCCTGCTTCATTACCTTTCTATTTCCCAAAGAATCTATTTCTATGGTCCTTTTGTTTATTTCCCTCATGGTATCATCCATTCCTAGCAGATTAGCCAACATTTCCTCTCTCAATCTCTTCCTCCCTCCCCTCTTTCTTCCCTCCCTTCCTCCCTCCTTCCCTCCCTCCCTCCATCCCTCCTTCCCTCCCACCATGCTTTCTCCCTTCCTTCCTTCCTGTGTTTAACACTTGCCTTTTGTCCAGACTTTCATTACTGTCTCCTAAGCAGACCTGCCTTCCCCACTCTAGGACTTCCTTCATTCCCTTCAGATTTGTTTTTCTCAAAAACTGGTTTGTTCCCCTGTCCATTCCAGGGAGGGAATGGGTAGTTGACAAGCACATTCAGAGAACTCCAAATCCATTGTCTCTCTTTCCTGAAACTTACCCTTCCTTTATATCCTTGATCTTACAGAAAGCGTCACTGTCCACTTGGAACCCTTCACCTTCTTTATCGCTCCTGTGTTCATTAGCTCTTCACTCAGTTTGATTAAACATCTGTGTGCTTAGGCACAAGAGACAGAAAAATGGCTAAGAAAAGGGTTCAGTCCACAAGAAGCTCCCAGCCTTGTGAGAAGCATGTAAGCGACATGACCCATTATTTAGTGAAGGCATGTGTGTGGCAAAAGGTGAGGAGGGAAGGGTGAAGGGCAAGCCCAGTTGGTCAGTAGGTCTTCCTGACTTTATTCCTAAATGCCCTCCACCCAGTCTTGACGCCTGGCTCTTCATTCTGGCCGCCTTTGTTTAACACTTGCCTTGTATCTGTTTTATTGTTGCCTCCTCAGTAGACCAGGCTTCCCGACTCCAGTGCTTCCTCAGATTTGTCTCCCTCAAAAACCAGTCTGTTTCCCTGCCCATGACAGGCTGAACATATCATCTTCCATGACAGCTGTCTGGCACAGTTTTTCTCTTATTTTCCACACATCATCCATTAAGCACCTGTTCATTTCACATATACCCTCTGTCCTGGCACAGATAGGCAAATGTCCAGGCCACAATGGCACATGATAGATGTTTCCTAAGAGTAGATAAATGAACCCTAATGATTTCAGTTAAACTCTTCCACATACTATGGGGCTTTAAAAGGAGAAGTTTCTTCTCCTAATTAGTTGATTAAACAACAACAACAACAAGAAATCCTTTAGGTTGGCTTTGCATAGGAATTGTCTACACAGCCTAGTCAAATAAGTCAACTCTCATTTTTTGCAATGGTGGTGGGCACCGTCCACAGGGATCATTCAAATGAGCTCTTAGTCTATCAAACCAGTTTTCCCAGAGGACTTGCACATTGTCCATCATGTGACTTTGCTAGCCACCATTGACTTGGGATAACTCCCATGATTAGAAAGGGAGTTTCACTTTCTTACCTAGTCAATATTTCAGGGTTTGTGAAACAAGATAAGGAACATACTGAAGACAGAAGTAGCTCTACTCTGGCTACTTTGAGTCCTCCTGGTCAGCTAAAATTGCACTGAGTGTGGGAAAAGATATCCCAGAGGCTCAGGATAACTAATATAAAGATAATTAGAGATTATAACAAGTATCTTGAGAATTCTAGGTACCTTAAAATTATCCTTAGTTTAAATCAGGCCCCTCAAGATACCTTGGAGAATAGAGATACATGCACAAAACCGAGTAATGGCTGACTCAAAAGATTATATTTTCTTCTCTAAGTGTTACTGGTGGTCTGGGCCAGATGATTCCAGGTTCTTGGCCTCTCTTCCAAATAACTGAAAATAAGGGCTTACACAAATTTGCAATAGAAGCAAGACCACTTATTTTGAGCAAAGCAATAGTGCAGGTTATAGGGAGATACACCATCACTGGCAGCAGGCCACATGATGAGTGTACTCAAGGGCCCCAAGCTACAGCCTACAGTCTAGTGAAAAGTGGCATTGGTTACTAAGGGGTGTAGTTTGGGTAGTTCTCTATTCTGATTGATAGACTAGATTATATAATCATTTTCTCTACTGTGCATGTCTTTTCCCATAATGCATCTGATTTTAATCAAATGCATGCCCAATTATGCACAGGAATAAGATGATAAATGGGGATTCTCCCTAAAAGGATACTAGAGGACAAAGCTTTGCTTTACTGCTTGTGCACCCAATTACCAGTTCAGGCTGGATCAGCCTTTCTATTTTTTGTACATAGATACATTGGTAACATCCTTGAAAGTGTTGAATCATAGTCACTAGACCACCAAGGAATGCACTTGAATAGAAACTGCCTTGAATAAACTTGATTGTTAATAAGGGTGGAGTAACACACCATTTCTCAGAGATGGGAGTTTGTGTAGCCCTGGAGATGGGCTCCAGGGGGCTCCAGGTTGCTAGGTACATTGTTTGGAAAGGGGTGTGAGTGCATAGTACATGCAAGTAAAGGAACTAGACTACCAAGTGCATTATTACAAGAAGAAGGGTGTGCATCACCAAAACAAAATGGGGGTCACAAGCCAAACTATCTCCTACACTTGCGTGCCTCATAAAGCCCATGTTGATTCAACACATATTAGAAATTTTGCTTTTCAATTTTTTTTGAGGACACAATTAAGCCAAGAAAAATAATTACCTATTCCTGTCATGGGAGGGAAGGGATACCATGAACTGAAATCTGTTGAACAGGGCAGATGTGATGTTACAATCTAGAAGTTAGATTTCAGGGTCTTTTGTTGGGGTTTTCATCTCTAGAAAGCCCCAAATAAAAAATCCCCACTGAATCTAGGACTTCAAAAATATTTGTTGATATATTGTTAGAAAAGTTGACATTGATGAACATGTTGGGGGACAGGCTTTTTTTTCCTGTGAGAATTGGAATTACTAATTTTGTCCTCAACCTTTTGCAGTTGGATCTCAATCTCTAGACTATTTTATTTGCTTTTGTTTTAGGAAATGCCCAACAAGACCCACATACAGTTGCTAATGCCATAATGGATGCCATTGAAGAATTTATCCAGAAAAAATCAGTCCAGTCTGTAAGAAAAGTTAAAGTCATTATCTTTCAGCCCCATATTCTGGATATTTTTCATGATATCATGAAAGGAAGAGAAGGGGCCCCAGCTTCTCCTCGGCCGTCTGTGATATCTAAAATTGTCTGTGAGTTCCTCATGTTTATGAAATACTTGTTCCTAACAGTGATGTTGAATGGGGTAAAGAAAAACTATCTTTATTTTTCTCATTAGCCCTTTTCAGCTCTCCAAAGCAAGCTCCCTGCAAAGAGAAAGTCTTGGTTCTAGAAAAGAAAATAGAGCTGACAGTTTTCCAGGTGTGTGGTGTAGGAGAGGACAGTGTGGACTGCACAATCTCCTGGATACAGGATCTGATTAATAAAGAGCAGCATTCCTACACCAGTGATGACAAGTGTATCAAAGACTTTGATGAAAAGGAGTGCCAGGAACTGATTAAGCTGCAGAAGAGGCTAAACATTACCGTTTCCCTGGACCAGAAAACACCTTTGATCAAGGTTTCAGGAATTAGCAGAGATGTGTTGCAAGCTAGAGATGAGATTGAGGAGATGATCAAGAGCATTAGATCGGCCAAGGAAAAGGAAACCCAGGCAGACTGTGTCTATGAGTTCGTAGAGTGGCAATACATCGACAATAGCACTATCCACCGTTTTGACAAACTCACCAACCTGCACCTGGAGAATGCAAAGAAGGCAAAGCACAAGAGCACTGTTGTCAAAATCAACAACCAGGACTACACAGTGAACTTGGGCACATACACTGCCTCAGGCCCAAATGGACACAGTTTAACCATTCAGCGCATTGCAAAATCCGAAGGTGAGTCACTCTTATTTGCCTTTCTTTTTTTTTTTTTTTTTTTTTTTTTTTTTTTGAGACAGAGTTTTACTGTGTAGCTCTGACTGGCTGGAATTTGTTATGTAGACCAGGCTGTCCTTGAGCTCACAGAGATCTGCTTGCCTCTGCTGGGATTAAGGGCATGCCACCACATCCAGCTGCATCAAATTTTCAAGTAGATAATATTCAAATAGCCCTAAAAATCTTGGTCTCTGAGTTTACAGAGCATACATTACGGCTAAGAAAATATAGCATGGATGTACCCAACAGCCCAAGAATGACCGTCTTAATGGTACCAATAGTTGAGCCTTGTGTTTGTTCCCACCTCTTCAGATTATAAACTTCCCAGAGTCAGTTCTGTTGGGAGGTAATGGCTGCCTCACTCAGAGGCAGGAAAAACAACATTTTTTTAATTTAAAAAATTTTTAAATTTAATAACTACATGATTAGAAACATTTCATTACAGCTTTAACATATTCAGCAAAAATTTCCAGAGCAAGGATACATCTCTTTCAAAAGTGGCTGTAAATTTTTAGGTTTACAGTTGAATCAATACAGTTGTACAATATTGAGCTCGGTATAAACCCTGAAAGAGATAAATTTGAATGTGTTTTTAACCTTTAAAGAAGATCTCCCTTACATTTTAAAATGTTTCCTACATTTTTAGTGCTACTAATGCTCAGATGTTTGCACATGTATCTTTAATCTCTATGTGTCTGATTATTACTAGTCATAGTCGGTTACACTCGGATCCTTGGCACCTGAGTATGGCTATAAACTCATCAGGTAGATTTCAATGATAATGTTTATCACCTCTACTAATTAACATGAAGTAAATTTTTATGCTTCCTCCTCAAATATGTCTTTTTTTAAAATTTATTGATTTTTTTCTGTCTATATCATACAGAACATCCCAAACACTCTCATTCATCTGTATACCCACTTCCCAAATGACATCCTCCCATAGCCCCCCCTCCCTGACTGGAGTCCATATACTCTTGTCATCCCTGTTACTGTCCACTGTGTTGTCGTGCTCCCAGCCATTCCCCAGTGTGTGTCCATCCACTGAATCTAGTCAGCCTATCTAGAGATCCTTGTTTTAGGAAGATCAACTGTTCCTCATTCAGCAGCAATCAGTTGTCAATATTCCTTTAGACAAGATTGGGATCTGCTGTTCATTTTCCCAGTTCTACGCTGGGTTACTGTTTGGGAGTCTTTTGGGCCACCTGGCCAAAAACTGAAAGGAAGGTATCTCCTGTCTGTCATTGTTGCTTGTTATGTAGCCTTTAGCTATATATATGGACTCTTAAAAATTATATTTACCCCATTAATCTTTGGTTATACTTTCCTTTTGGATGATTAAAACCCTACAATTGGACCAGATAAACCAATTTATTTTTACTCTTAAGGTCGTTTGAGGATCTGTTCCTCAGGGGTCACATGGGCTTGGGAGAAGCCCCTGGCTCCTTTCTTTTACCAGTTCTGTCTATGTGAAGATAAGTCAAAGGTCCCACTTGACCATGGCTGGCTTCACTTGGAAGCATGGAGGAAATGATTCCTCTGTGTTGACCCTCCTCTTTGTAGACTGGACACTGGTTCAGGTCCATCTGGTGAGGTCTCCACCGCCTCCTTGATCAAGAGGACAGGTGACTCACCACAGTTACAGGAGATTTTGAGAGATGCTCCTAGTCCCCTGGAACTTAGTCTACCTAGGAGGGAAAGGAGCAAAAAGTGTCCTTTATGTCCCTGTGACCAAATTAGTATAGGCTTCATAGTATGGCTGTTAAACATCCAAGAACGTTAGTTCCACCAGTCTGATATTTTAATTACCATGTGCCATGTAGATAAAGCTTGGGCAAAGACCGAACGCTCTCATATAAACCTTGCCTAGACATATATTACATTCTTTGATCTGGTTGTATGTATAATTTGTCAGTAGATTGTTGGCCTAATATGGTTCCCTCTGGTTTTCTAAAACTAGCTAGGCATTATTTATCTCTCAAATTGTCTAACCCTTCCACCATGGTTTCCTATGGTCCCACCTCTCTTGAACTCCTTCCCTTTATCCCCCAGTTTCCTTGTATAACCTTCTCTCCGCCCTCCCCTTAAAATAACCCCATTTTTATTCATATCTCCCTTATTAATACCTGTTTCCTACTGTTCATCTCTTTCAGATTCTTTCTTTTCCTTTACCTCCCTGGTTCCTTTCCATTATCCTGGTTCCTGTAGTTATGTCTGGATACATACTCACTTATCATGGTTTGGTTCCAGGATCCACATATGAGGGAGAACATATGTCAATTTTTTTTTTTCTGAGTCTCTGTTACTTCACTTAGTATAACTTTCTAGTTCCATCCATTTACCTGAAAGTCTCATGATTTCATCTTTCATTACTGCTGTCCCTCGTATAAATGAACCACATTTTCATTATCCACTCGTCAACTGAGGGACACTTAGGTTGCTTCCATCTCTTAGCTATTGTGAAAAACACAGTTCACAGTCCCACCAGCAGCAGATGAATGTTTCACTTTCCCCACATCCTCTCCACCATTTAGTATCATTTGTTCTCTTGATCTTAGCCAGTCTGGCTGGGGTAAAATGAAATCTTAAAGTGGTCTTAATTTGCATTTCCCTGATTACTAGTGATGTTGAACACGTCTTAAGACACTTCTTAGCCATCTTTATTTCTTCTTTTGAGAACTCGCTGTTCAGGTCCTTAGCCCATCTTTTAATTGGGTTAATTCTTTCTTGATTCTTTGTTTTATGAGTTTGTTATATAGTCTGGATGTTAAGACTCTGTCAGATGTGTCACTGGTGAAGATTTTCTCCCATTCTGTGGGTTTTCTCTTCACTTCCTTGGTTGCTTCTTTTGATGTACAGAAGCTTTTTAGTTTAAGGTCCCATTTGCTGATTCTTGACCTTGTTTCCTGGACAGTTGATGTCTGCTTTAGAAAACCCTTTCCTACACCTATATCTTGTAGGTTATTGCCAATGTTTTCTTCTAACAGTTTCAGAGTTTCAGGCTTCACATTGAGGTCTTTGATCCATTTGGAGTTGACCTCTGTGCAAGGTGAAAAATAGGGGTTTAGTTTTATTCTTCTACAGGTGGTGATCTAGTTTTGCCAGCACCATTTGCTGAACATGCTGTCTTTCCTCCAGTGAATATTCTTAGCCCCTTTGTCAAATATCAGGTGGCTGCATATCTGGGTCTTCAGTTTTGTTCCATTCATCTATGGGTCTATTTTTGTGCCAGGACCATGTTGTTTTTATGGCTATAGCTCTGTAATACAGCTTAAAATATGGTATAGTAATCCCCTCGGCATTGCTCTTAGTGCTCAGGGTTGTTTTGGCTATCCGAGGTCTTTTGTGCTTCCATATGAATCTTAGTGTCCCGACCTGCAGGACACTTCTACAGTGGCGTGACCAGTGGGGGTCCTAGAAGGAATGACAAACAAGGAACACGAAGAAAGAGAGCAAGACAGTGTTCTGATCAAGCTCCAAAATTTTATTTGAAAGCAGCAGACATATATACTGGTAGTGGAAAACTAATCTCTTTCTTTAAAGATTTAAAATTTTCATCGTAGAGGTCTTTAATGTATTTGGTCAGGTTTATTCTGAGATATTTTATTTTATTTTATTTCCAGCTATTGTGAAGGGGAGTGTTTCCATGTACTCTTGCTCTGATTGCTTGTTATTGGTATATAGAAAGGCTACAGACTTTTGTAGATTAATTTTGTAACCTGCCACTTTACTGAATGTGTTAATAATTTCTAGGAGTTTGCGTGTGGAATTTTTGGCGTCCCTTAGATATATTATCATATCATCTGCAAAAAGGGATAATTTGATCTCTTCTTTTCCAATTATTACTCCTTTAATTTCCTTCTCCTGTATTATTGGTCTTGCAAGAGTTTCAAGCACTATGTTAAGGAGGAGTGGAGATAGTGGACAGCCTTTTCTTGTTCCTGATTTCAATGGAAATGCTTCCAGTATTTCTCCATTTAGAATGACGTTGGCTGTGGGTTTGTTATATATGGCTTTGATTATGTTGAGATTTGGTCCCACTAGTCCAATTCCCTCTAGGACTCTGAACATAAATGCATGTTGAATTATGTCAAAGGCCTTCTCTGCATCTATTGAGAAGACAATGTGGTTCTTGTCTTTGAGCCTATTTATATGATTTATGATGTTTATTGACATGTATATTGAACCATCCCTGCATCTCTGGAATAAAGCCGACTTGATCATGGTGGATGATCTTTTTGATGTGTGTCTGTATGCAGTTTGCAAGTTTTTTTTTGAAAATTTTTTCATCTGTGTTCACTAAGGATATGGGTCTATAGTTCTCTTTTTTGGTTGTGTCTTTACCTGGTTTTGGAATTAGACTGATGCTGCCTTCATAGAAGGAATTTGGAAGTTCTCCCTCCATTTCTACTTTTTTAAAGATAAATTAAGTAGTATTGGATGCCTCCTCTTTAAATGTCTGGTAGAATTCTGCTGTAACTCCATCTAGTCCTGGGCTTTTTTTAGTCGGGAGGTTTTGTATTACTGTTTCAATTTCTTTTTGTGTTATGGGTCTGTTTAAGCTGTTAATCTCTTCTTGGTTTAGTTTTGGTGGTTCCCATGCTTTTAGATATCCATCCATTTCTTTTAGGTTTTCAAATTTAGTAGCATATAGGTTTTTAAAGCATTCCCATATAATGTTCTGTGTCTTTCTGGTGTCTGTTGTGATGTTTCCCCTTTCATTTCTTATTTTGCTGATTTGGAGGTGCTCTTTCTTTCTTTTGGTTAACTGGGCTAGTGGCCTGTCAATCTTGTTCATCTTTTCAAAGAACCAGCTCTTGGGTTTGTTGATTCTTTGTATTGTTTTCTTTGTTTCTATTTCATTAATTTCTGCTCTGATTTTTGTTATTTCTTCTTGT